CCCTCCTTCCTTCCCCCTTCCTTCTCTCCTACATTCCCTCCTTCCTTCCCTCCTTTCTTCTCTCTTCTCCTTAAAACCAAATCTATTTAGTTATTTAAAGCATTTATATTGCTGTCCATTTTATAGCAAACTCAGGCTGGCTCCCAATCAAAAAATTAAAATAATATAGGTAAAGGTTTCCCCTCGCACATACGTGCTAGTCTTTCCCGACTCTAGGGGGCGGTGCTCATCTCCGTTTCAAAGCCGAAGAGCCAGCGCTGTCCAAAGACATCTCCGTGGTCATGTGGCCAGCATGACTCAACGCCGAAGGCGCACGGAACGCTGTTCCCTTCCCACCAAAAGTGGTTCCTATTTTTCTACACGCATTTTTTACGTGCTTTAGAACTGCTAGGTTGGCAGAAGATGGGACAAGTCACAGGAGCTCGCTCCGTTATGCGGCGCTAGGGATTTGAACAGCTGAACTGACGACCTTTCTGATCGACAAGCTCAGCATGTTATCCACTGAGCCTAATGTAGGTCTAGCCACTTCCAAAATGCCCTCGCCATCCTCTTATCTTTCTAGGCAAATATTGTTCTGGATCTCAAACACCACACACACACAAACACACACAAACCACAACTAAGGTAACTGAAGAATGGGGTCCCCCCCCAGTAAAGCAGAGAATGTAATATGCAGCAACAGGGCAAAAAAGTTACGACGTGGTTAGTAAACTCCCAACATGACCAAATAAATAAATAAAAATAAAAAAAATGGAGAGGAGGGACGGGGAAAAATGACTTCATATCAATTATTGGAAATGACGGCCATTGTGTTGGAAAAAGCAGAGCGCTCGAGACAGGCCCTGGCTGCTCAGGAGAGGACCACTCTAGGAAGCAACTTCTCCAGAACTTTATGCTTTTATAAAAGATGGGCAGGAAGAATTTGGTGGCCTTTGCAGAACGGCCAACCCCTCCGGGAATCGATCCCGCCGCCAATTGCAGGGAACGAATTGATCTGGGGGATCCTCTTGATCGATCGCCATGCTTTTTTTTTCCAAGCCCCACGATGGCGCCTTTTTCATCCATAGGCCAGCAGGCAGTCCGTGTTTTAACCAAAGCTGTTTCTCCCGTGGAAAAGACGACACCCCGAGGAGGGTTTAGGGCCTCTACCCACCCCCGTCTTCCACCGCCCCCTTTGGAAGGAAGAAACAAGAGGTTTTCCCAGGTTGGATTAAAGCATCACCACCCCGAACGGCAAGCGAGAAGGAACTACACCACCAAGAAGGACGAGGACAATAAATGGAGGAGCACATTTCAAAAAAGCACAGCCATCAACGGCAGCCTGGGCTGCGTCTTCCTTTCTCTCCTTTCCAAAACCAGCTGTGGTTCTTTGCTTTCGGCTCCGAGGTTCTCCATCGGCAAGGGAGATCGACTCGCGCCGCGAACGGACCATTCATCTCCCCTCCATCCATCCATCCCCCCCCCAGCGCTCCCCGTTTTCCCACCAACCTACCCAGCCCAGAAAGTCTTGTCCACCACATCCTCGGAGGGTCAACGTGCTTTGAAAGGGGAGAACCACAGGTGGGGCAACTTTTGAAAAGAGCAACAGGTTGCTTGCGTTGAGCGGGGAGGTGATGCCTTAATAAACCAACTGTCCTTTCCTCGTTCACGGCTCCTAATTTCGGGAGGGCTCCCCTCGGCACAGCCCTGGGAAGGAGGTAAAAGATGTGCCTGCCGGGGTGCCCCACCGCGTGAACAGCGAGCATTTTTTGGGGGTACAGAAATTGAAGGAGGAGGCACGATACCGGCCTATGGCTGAAACACTGAACTATTCACAGCAGTGCTGGACAACACCAGACAATTAAAATAGCGAGTTTTTTTCATGGGGGCTGTTGCTGCTTCAGATTCTGAGAATTGAGCAAGGCTGCCGAGAAGAGGAATGATCATAATTTCTCATTTTAAGCCCTGGCGGATGGGGAGAAACGCATCGACGGGCTATTCAAAAGAGGCCACAAGAACCATTCTGATTTACTCGAGGTGGGTTTCTTTTAACAGCTTTGGAACGAAAAGATCTAATTTCCTTTTGAATCCCTGCGTTACATGATGATATCCGCTAATGGCCTGGAGGCGCCTTTGATCTCTGCAACCGATTTCCCTGAATATTCTGGCTGGCTTAGCGCAAAGCAGCTTTCGAAAATTTGGGAACAAATGAACCCTTGACAAATTCCAAGCCCCTTTTTTGGTTCCAAATCAAAAGAAATCGGAACGGAAGGGCAACCCTGCTGCTTGGGAGAATCCAACCTAAAAACTCCCGATTCCCAAGGACTTAGGAGAAAGCCACAGGTACGGATGGCCAGGTGGAGAAGACAGGTAGGCAGTCCTACTTACAGCAGTAGCACTTAAGACTTAATATACTGCTTCCTAGTGCTTTTGTAGCCCTCTCTAAGTGGTTTACACAGTCAGACTATCCACAATCTGGGTCCTCATTTTACACACTTCGGAAGGATGGAAGGCTGAGTCAAACCTGGTGAGATTCGAACTGCCAAATTGCAGGCAGCCAGCAGTCAGCAGAAGTAGCCTGCAGTACCGCCCTCTAACCAGGGGTGGTATATTCACTTAATTTCCCTACCGGTTGGCAAATGTGATGTGCTTTGATTGTGGTTTGCACGCAAGTGTGCAGCTTGAAAACATGCCTAAATAGGACGGCATTAGAGCTGGGGTGAGCCCACCAGCAATTTCAATTTTCACAAACCGATTCGTGTGAACCATCCCGAACCGACTGAATACCACCTCTGACTCGAACTCCTTGTGCCTTGGTGGCTCCTATCCCAGATATGTGCAAAGAAAGCCATGGAGGATCATTCTTGATTTGGAGGCAGGTGTCCCTAGGAGAGGCCTCCGCAAAGTCCTTATTGCCCTGCTAACTTTAAGACAAACTTCCATGATTATAAAACTAGCCCTCTAGCTTCCTTTCGTTTCTTGAGTAGTAATTTATTGGCATGTCAGTTTCTTTTAAAAAAAATAAATCCCGAGCCAAAAACGTAACTGCATCCCATAATCCTAAAATTATAAAGTTTGGTCCCAAGGGGTTGGTATTAGGAAACAGGCAAAAAAAAAAAAAAAA